AACATTTTTTGGTAAAGATAAAAAACACTTTTATTACATTGGTATCGGGGTAAGAAGGTCCACCATTTGAAACACCTGCACGCATTAATAATACACGGTGCTGTTCTGAGAGGTAATTTTTGGACTTTCTTTGAAACATAATTTTTTTTTATATTCTTGTTAATTAGGTCATAACTAAAATTTTAAGAGCAAAATAAAAAAAATTTGACGGTTAATTTTGTTTTAATTGGATGTTTATTAAAAATATGTATGCACACTTTCAATTCTCCAATTAAAACTTGCGATTTTATTTAAATATTATCATAACTTTTAAATCAGATTAAAGATTAGTTAATTTTCTAAAAAAAGGTCTATACATTTTTTATATCTTTTACTGTTTTGTTGTAATACACGTTTAAAGTTTTAATTTAAGGTTATATGTATAGTATACATTTATTAAACAATAATTCTAAGGGTGCCACATTTTATTTAGGGCCGATTTATTTATTTTTGATTTATTTGACGAATAATTTCTTTGGATACTAGATATTGCCAAGACATGAAAGTTATCGGCCCGATAAACTTTACTAAAAATGAATAAACCGGTCCTTAGTTAAATTTCATAAATTTCTTCGTAACTTTTACTACAATTTTTCATTTAGGTTTATAAAAAACACTTTAAAAACTAAACAAAAATTATAGAATACGTATACTGAAAATGACGTCAAATAAATTTTTAATAGATCTAAGTTTCATGGCAACCTTTAAGGATATATTAATTAAGGGAACATAAATGTATACGTCAAAGGTTAGATTAAAAGTTTGAACGTTTATTGCAACAAAACAGTAAAATATATAAAAAAAAATTAAAAACATTTTTTTTAGTTATGCAAATATTAAATATTTAAATTAAATCGCTAGTTTTAATTGGATAATTGAAAGAGTGCATAATATTTTTTAGAACAGCCAATTAAAACAATTCAAACCGTCAATTTTTTTTATTTTGCTCTTAAAATTTTAGTTATGACCTAATTAAAAAGAATATAAAAAAAAATTAGGTTTCACAGAAGGTCCAAAAATCACATCTCAGAACAGCACCGTGAATAATACCTCTTGATAGTTTTTAACGAATTTATTAAATAAATTAATTGAATAAAAACAAAAAAAGCTAATTCTGTTGCGCCCTGCACAAATTGAAAATTTAAAAATTATTCGCACAGCTCGCAAATGAAAAAGTCATCTTCTTCTACCCCCGCACATTCTTCGTGGGCCCCAACTTGTGTACTGGACCCAGTCTCCTTTAACTGTACTCTCTTTGTACGGAGTTTCACAATAAATACATAAATCATCCACGGTCCTGCTTGCCCCAAATTAAGTGGTCCTCATTACCTCAAATGTCGCTAGACAGGAAATCACCTCGTAACATTTTTCCATGCAATAGCATTGGTAAACCAATAGGTAAGGTTTGAAGCACATTTAATATGGATCACTATTATAAACTAAGTTTTCTTTAATTCCTCAGTAGTTTCTCAGGAATGGACAATATTGCGATGTAAAAGTTAAATTAACATACCATGAAATTTTGATTTCTTTGTAGCACTTTCAAACAGCTGCTTATGGTCGGACGCCATTAACACAGCAATGACATGAAGTTTTGGGAACCTACTATCGTGAAATTTTGCACCAAATTAAATCGAACTGTGCGGTAGACCGGTGGTCTCGCTGCCCCGGTCTTCCCTACCACTACAACACTTAGGCCCTAAGTCCGGTTTATCAATCTCTGGTTAAGTTCCAGTTAGTCTATCTGACAGTTAAATTCTTTATTGATCGTTGTGAGAACAATGGTATCCATGGAAATTATCTGCCATATAACTAAATGCAACTTGACATTGATAAACTGTCCCTTACTGATGTATTTTGTTGATTGATTGATTGATTTGAAGGGGAGCCTTTGCAGGCAGCACTTAGGCACACATACGGCCCATTGTGCAAACCCCCTTTTGGTGAAGCCCTGCCTTATCTTACAAGCCCGTAGCTTTTAAGAAAAGCGCAGACCCGCTCTGGTCGGGCATGCATTATTTCCTCTGGTTCCAAGTATCTGTCCCCTAGGTGTCTTAGTCTACTATTGACTAAAGCGTCGCATTCGCAGACTATATGCTCGGTAGTTTCGTCTACTTCGCTGCAGTACCTATAGTCCGTCTCGTTGCTGAGTCCGGTTTTGTGTAGGTGATAGTTGACTACCCAGTGTCCTGTTAGGACTCCTGTGATGGTTCTCAACTGGTTCCTGTTAAGTTTCAGGAATCTTTTTGCCTCTTTGCATGTAGTAGGACTCTTTATAAAGACCCTAGACTGCCTGAGGCCTTGTTGTTCACGCCATTTGTTCTGGAACTGGTCGTTAGTCCAGTTCCTGATCTTGGTTTTTACCAGACAGGAGGCGACCCCTATGACAGGTTCTGGCCCCGTGAAGGCCGTGTTGTTGCCCTCACGAGCCAGCTGGTCTGCTTCCTTGTTGCCTCTGATGCCTCGATGACCCGGTACCGAGATAAGGTTAACCTTGTTGAGCACACTGAGTAGTTCGAGGGTTTTGATGCAGTCCAGTGTAAGTCTCGAGTTGACCTTTTCCGAGTGAAGAGCCCGGAGTGCTGCTTGACTGTCGCTGCATATGTAGATATGTTTACCCGAGTAGCCTCTCTGGAGATTCTCTTGGGCGCATATCTGGATGGCAAAGATTTCGGTCTGGTATACCGTTGGTTATCGACCTAGTGCAAGGCTTATTCTCGCCCCAGGTCGCTCTCCATATACACCAGCTCCTGCACCTTCCTTCATTAAAGACCCGTCTGTGTACCAGATGAGCCCTTCCGGTTTGAGAAAGCCTGGGTTAGGCTCGCTCCAGTCGTTTCTGGAGAAGAAAACAATTTTATATCTCCTGAGGGGGGTAGACGTCTTTGGCATTGCATCCCTTCTTGTGAGAAGGGGGTCCCGGTTGATAGTCTCAGTCCAGGCCCTTGCATGCCCTGAGTTTTTCCCCCCGTGAGTCCACTGTCCCCAATCATTGAGTCTGACCGAGGCCTCCCGAGCCCGTGCCTCCACAAAGAGATGTAGAGGCGCCAGTCCCAGTATGGCCTCCATTGCCAATGTTGGAGTGGTTCTAAAAGCTCCAATTATGCCCATGCAGGCAAATCGTTGGAGCTTGTCCATCTTCTTCCTGTAGGTGGGCTTGCTTAACGCATTCCACCAAACAAGGCTGCCGTATGTGATCATTGGCCTTATGACTGTTGTGTAAAGCCAGTGCACTATGTGGGGTTGTAAGCCCCAGGTGCATCCAATGGTCCTTCTGCATGCCCATAGGCTATGAGTGGTCCTCTGGACGACCCTGTTGACATGTTCCTTCCAGGTCAGCCTGGAGTCAATGATGACTCCTAGATACTTGACTGATTTGGATGGGGTCAGTCTTGATCCAAAGAGGGTGAGCCCCTCAAGGTTCATGTTTCTTCGGTTGGTGAATGGTACTACTTCTGTCTTATCCGGATTGACGGATAGTCCGTGATCGTTGCACCACCTTTCGACCTTATTAAGAGCTCTTTGCATGATCTCTTTAATAGTATTTGGTACCCTTCCGGCTACGACGATGACTAGGTCCTCCGCGTAGCCTTGAGTGTATATACCTTCTTCGTTTAGGATACGAAGTAGCCCATCCAGCACTAGGCACCACAGCAAGGGCGATAGTACCCCTCCTTGCGGGCAGCCTCTGGCTACGGTTGAGCTGATCTCCGTAGTTCCAATCGAGCTTGTAATGATCCTGCTTTCCAGCATGACACGGATCCATTTGACAATGGTATTCTCTATGCCAAAGCCTTCTGCAGCTCTATTTATCGACTCGAAGGAGGTGTTGAAAGCTCCTTTAATATCTAGAAACGTGCCCAGAGCAATCTCTTTAGGACGAGTCCATCTCTCTAGTCTTGTCACAAGGCTGTGAAGAGCGGTCTCCGTCGACATGGCTGTCCTGTAGGCGTGTTGATTGGGATGCATGGGAATTCTTTTTAGTGACCCGTCCCTAATAAATATGTCCACCAGTTTCTCCATAGTTTTTAAAAGAAACGAGGATAGACTGATGGGTCTATAGTCCTTTGCCGTATCGTAGTTACAACGTCCTGGCTTGGGGATAAACACCACTCGAACCTTTCGCCAGGATTGTGGCACGTAGCCCCGTGCCAGGCAGGCTCTGAAGAGGTGTATCAAGTGCGGTGTCAGTGGTTCCAGTCCCTTTTGTAAGAGAGCCGGAAAGATGCCATCTGGTCCCGCGCTTTTAAACAAATGAGACAAATATTATTTTTATAACAGTGTAAATACGCCGTTAATGGTTTTATAACAACAACAAAGGTTTGAACTGTTAAATAATTTGTTTTTTTGTATGTTTGAATTTTTGCATATACTTCATTTATAAATCTTAAAATGACAATGTAGGTATTATAGTCGTTTTAGGATTTATAAAATTTATTTAATTTCATTTATTGAAGTATATGCAAAAATCCGAATATACAAACAAACAATTTTTTAACAGTTCAAACCTTTGTAGTTGTTATAAAACCATTAAGGTCCAATTTACCATTTATAATATCATCGTGACGTGACGCTACCGAGATAATGTATCAATTTTTAGTAATTTTTAAGAAAAAATTGATAGTAATAAACGTTTAAAAGTATGGTTGTTTTTAGTAACTAATCTTCATAAAGGAAGTAGTTTTAAACTGATTTTCGACATCATCCCAATTTCACCATTTCGTGATATAATTAGATTTTTTTTTTAAATTTAGCATTATTATATTTTATAGTGCACGGCATTATTATAAATCGTGTTTTATTTGAGAAAGGTATCGGAACAAATAACAAAAAGAGCATATCGCAAAATAGAAATGGGATTGGGCACATCAAAATTCCACTCGGAGTATTCCCGTCACGTCCGCTACTGACTCGCCTTCGGATGTTTATTGTATCAATTCTAAGTCTAAGCTTGCTTGACTATGGTCCTGTCGACTCTCCAGGGTGGATGGAAAAAACTGGGACGCGGCAGCGGCGGCTTTATGGATAATGCGGAATCGAATTACCTTAATTCAAAAGTGCTTTTGAAAAATGCATGGGCACCTTAAAATTCGATTTTAAGCCCCTGTACACATATGGCCGTTGTAGCGTAAAGTGATTATCTGAGATGGTTTGAAGCACATTTTTAAGTCGCACTTTATATTCAGTCGAGTGTTATAAGGGGCACAAAATATAATTTAAGATCTCTCTCTTCGTTTAAGTCTCTTTATAACAATAAACAAAAATATATATGAGCCAATGATTCAAATGGAGTTAAATACAGGAGTAAATAGTAAAAGGTACAGGTAGGTTTGTGTTCTTGAATCCTATGGATCTTATAGACTTAGTTTATAGATGCATATTTTAATAGGGCTGTCGTTATACAAAGTTCTCCTAAGGGCTTAACGATGCACGTATCGCAATTGAGATCGAGTATCTCGAGAGATAATTATCTGGGCAACGTAGCGTGTACCCGATATAAACCGGCAACGGTCCGACGATACTATTAAATTGACGAATCGATTAGAGTCGAGCTTCCTGCCCATAGATAACAAACCTGCAGGAGCATGTTCATATTTCCCGATATACAGGATGATCCATGTCAAATCTTTAAAGTAAAAATTTGTTACAATGTAGGCAAGATAAAATCAGGGCAAGCTTAAATTATAATTATATTGTTTTTGTATAAGCATTTTCTTTTGTTATTAAAATATGACAAATTTGGGATCATCCTGTATATTTCTTTGTATTCATACTTGTGTGCATGTTCGGGGCAAATATTTGGGGAATGTGCACCAGACTGTGGAAGCATTGCCTAACGAAGTGGTCAATAGTCAGTTTTTACAAGCCTGCCCGGTAGTCATACATTTAATCGACCAAATATTTGCACTTTTAATTAGTTTTTTTATTATTGTTTGTTTTTCCTTTTTTAAGAGATTTTATTTATTTATTCTTTAATATTAAATGCTTATAATAAAATTCATAAATTTTAAAAATTTTCTTTTTATTTATGTGTGTCACTTAAAGTACTTAATATTTTATAAAAACCTCAGTATATATATATATATATATATATATATATATATACAAAATTCTATCATTGCTGCGTCCATACATTTATAAAATCCCTATTCTTATTGCGTCAACGACCTTACTGCGTCAGTATATCTGACGCACTAATGTCAAGCGCTTATTTCTTAAAATTTACTTCATCCCGGCACTTTCTAAGATTCTTGCTAATACAGATCTGTGAAGAATTTAATTCCCAATTTTTGTGTCCAAAAATTTTTTATGTCCGACCCTGCGTTTTTTAAATATTTAGAAAAATTTGAACACAAAATGTGTGCAGCAACATACTAAAAATGAAAAAAAATTGTATATTTAGTTCAACCCATTTGACGATGAGGGCGTTGCGATAATATACGTGTTTTCAATATACGTGTTTTTAAATACTGTATGTTGTTGCGTCGCACAATTTGGCAACGTCTAGCCTTTGATTTTAATATTTGAATTAAACTCACGATACTGTTGCGAATGGTAGCGCTGTTTCTCTCGCACCGTGTGACGTCACACTAGAGACAGTTGTCCTTTCGTTTAAATGTAATCATATTATAATCTTGGGGCGCGCGTCGAGTTTTATGAAATTTACAATTATGACGGTGGATTTATTAAAACTGATTGTAAGATAAAATTGTTTTGTACATAAGTAATTGTGAGAATGTATTTTTTAAATTATATATGCAGATGCAGATTTAAAGGCAGAAAAACGATTATCATTTTTTACGCTTATAATCGTAAAAAAATAATCATCGTTTTTCTGTTAATTTTACTATTTCAAAAATAATAAAAGTTTTGCATGTTTCATGTACTTAAAAAAAAAAGGTTAATATCAATGTAAATAACTACAATGTGTTTTATGTTATTAACACGTAATTCAAAAAAATTTAAAAAAAAGTAATACATCAATGTTATAAATACAGCATGTTTCTTTGACAATCTAAATTAGGCTTTCTAATAAATATTTTTCAATTGAGCTTTTGTTTTTGAATTATCAAACTTTGTTTTGAAGTAAAACTTTTTATGTAAATTATTTATGGGCGGATTGAAAAAAATAGTTTTTAGTAAATTTTGACATTTTTTCTTTAGTATCTTTAGTAGATTTATTACAGTTTTTACACAAAATAACAAAAACACAATACAAATTTAAATGTCTTATAATAATAATTATTATAATTTTAATTATTGTAATAATAATAATATTACATAATATTATAATAATAACATTACTAAACAAAATTAATCATAATAATATCATTAAACAATGCAGTAGCAAGTTAAATAAGTAGTTTCGAAACTCGAATGTTGAGCGGTCTATGGAATGTCACCCCGTCCATCATCTCTATGTTCAGGCATAATTAAATACATGTATATCTTAAAACCAAATAATACCACACAATGTTAGTTAAAAAAAAATTGTCTTAATTTTAAAAACATTCAATCCCCCGGGGGCGTGGCAAAAATTATTTTTAAAAATTAAAAAAAAAACAGCTTATACAAATACCCTTCTCACAACTTTTTTTTAACTAAGTGAGATTTCCAAAAATAATTATTTCAGCCCAGCCTACCGAATTTCTAATTTTTGCCGCGCCCCCGGGGGATTGAATGTTTTTAAATTTTTTTTTAACTTACATTTTGAATTTGGCATATTAAAAAACTATAAGGTATTAACTCACTTGTAACACAAAAAAAAGCTTGTTAATATATTTTAATTTTAAGCCCCTCCCCAAAGCTTTTAAAGTTCTAATATGCAGCTCTTCGATTAAAAAAAAAGCCGTGGTGCGCGTCGTAAAATTAAAATATATAAATATTTTTTTTTGTGTGTCTTAAGTAAGTTAATACCTAATATTTTTTAATATGCAAAATTCAAAACTTCACTTAAAAATTATTTTTATTGAATTTTGAGGAATTTCAACCCCCCGGGGGCGCGGCTAAATTTGTTTTTAAAAATTTGAAAAAAAAACAGCTTATTTGTGTACCCTTCTTACAATGACAATGAACCCTCAAAAAAATAAAAGTTCCCGGGAATTTTTTGAATTTAGTGATTTTTTTATGTTCACTAAAATTTTTGTACTAAAATGGTACAACTTCTTGTGGCCTAGTTTACACAATAGATTTGGTCAATAAGTATGGAATTAACTTGGAAATTAGTAAAATTAGGGTAATTAGTAGGGAATTATAATTCCTCTATAGACGAATTACTAGGTATTTTTTAAATTAAAATGGAATTATAATATATAAGGGGAATTAGTAAGGAAATAGAGGAATTAGTAGCAATCCTGGGAATTAGTGTACACATTTTCTTTTGCGGTTTACCCCGAGGGGTAAACCGCAGGGGAATTTTGGTGTACAATCTGTAGGAATTAGTAAGGAATTAGAGGAATTTGGGGAATTACTCGGTAAATTAGTAAGCAAATAGTGGAATTAGTGGAGAATTAGAAAGAAATTAGAAGAAAATTGATGTCTCGTTTAGCACTTGAATATAAAGAAAAAAACAAAGAAACCGGAAGTTACAGAGCTACTCCATTCTTTGCCAGTTCCAGATTGGGAGTAGTACCACTGCAGCATTGAAAAAAATGAAGAATGTTGTGTACAGCACACCACCCATATTTTAACAAAAAATAGTACTCGTTTCCTAAAACCAGGAATACATCTGCCAATTGGGAAATACACTGTCTTCTCTGGTCATCTCAGGGAATTAATTTTAAAGTTTTAAAAAGACAAACATCTCCTGACAGATTCGGATCTCAAAAGTGAAGACAAGATGAATTTTGCATCCGCAGAAAAAATGTGCAGTTTGATAGTAATTGAACGACTGAATAAGGAAATTCCACAAATTAAATAGAGCGTGGCGTATCTCAAGCTAATGTACTACATCGAATCGTCGCGACGCATCGTTCTTAAATTCTGTGTTGCATTCTAGATTATATCGCATCTGGTATGTTGTATTTTTTACTAGAATCTGGAAAGCCTGTGTTAAAGAACAAAAAGAATATAAAATAACAGACAACTTTTTGACCAGTAATTGTAACCTTTGCATCGAAACGCCCATGCTTTGACTTAAACTAATACTGAAGCTTAACAGCGGTGAGTTAAAAACAGATATGTTCATCACCGGCATTTTTGGTAGCCAAGCATGTGAATCCTTATTTCGGGCTGCCAGATCCATGACTTCTACGTATTCAACAATAATACATTTTAGTATAAAGGATATGCTGAACCGAATTGAGAGAATTAAGACAACTGATACCATAAACGATCTGAGGGGGACTTTTACTTTTACGTGAAGAAGAAATTTTAAATTTGGATATCAAATCTACAGTTAAAAAAGCTCTACAAAATGTCATAGAGGACATAAAACATCTTGGAATTAATGCAAAAGAAAACGATTGGAAATATATGCAGGTAGGTACCGTTAATAAGACGGAAACAAAATATTGCAATTACACAGAATAATGAAGACGCCGACGAAGACAACGCTGAAATTGTCGAAAACCCCGAAGAAAATTGGCAAAAACAAATATTAGTAATGAGGACGATAAAGTTATGGATGAAGTTATGGACTTAATTTCAAACGAGATTTCTAATGAAGATCGCGAATGTGATACTTTGGAAACGAGTTGTATAAGTTTAAAAGACTTTTCTAAAAAAGTGCACAGTGTATCGGAAAAATCACCGTACCTATATAATATTATATATTCAATTATTAAAAAATCATCGTACTGCTGGCTTTTAGATCAGTCCGACGGTAGAGTAAGTACTGGCCGATTAAAAAGATTTATAGGCGGTACAAGGAAAACACCGAAGAAAACACCTTGCAAAAATTCCAAGTCGACCTTGACTATAAACAGAAGTTATGCATGGATCAAGCTAGTAGCACAAGCACTGTATCATCCTCCGACTCTATCGTGATGGAACTCGACGACTCCGATGATTTGGAGGAGTTTTCAGATGAGATCTTGTCGTATAAATCAGAAAATGT